TGTATAGTAGAAGGATAATGTTATGACTTAGATTACAGCAATGATTGGTTGTGAGCGGGGCACATCGCTGTTGAGGATTCCCTAACAGGGGGTCGTATTTGGTCGCTGGGAGAGGCGGGTCGTATTTGGGCCAAGAAAATTTATTTTGATAGTTGACTCTTGAGGGACGTTGTCAAAGGGAGGGTGGAGTCGTGTTTGTCTTTTGTGACTTCTGGTTTGTGAGAGGAGTTTTCGTGGTTTTTTCCTGTTTCATGTGTGCTATGCATCTCCCCTCCCTCTTCCGCTCGACAGCTCGATGAGGAAGGAACCTGGGGGTGGGGGTTCGCACCATTCCCCTAAAGAAAGGGGGAGGTCGGCGGACTCGACCAAAATCCCTAACTAATGATGTCTTTACGCGGTGAATCTTCCCAAAGAACTAGTTTAGTTTCCGCTTCACACCTTAGACAGAGATCCCTGTGCGTCTTCCTTCTTTAGGTTAAGCTTATAAGGATACCCCAACAGGTCGAGCCGACTACTTGCAGTGAGGTGTATAACGTTAGATGCATTTTGAGACGCTGAATCAAAATCTGTTCTCGGAACTTGCGGATCCACTGACTGAACCGAGTTGTGAATGTTTTTACACGCACCCTTTTCGCAGTTGTCGTCCCACAGAGGCAATTAGATCACCAACTGAAGACCCATAACCATAGGTGGTCTGGCACGCTGAGAACGGTTGCCGCAAGGCGATAGTGAGTCATGACTGGCTCACGAGAGGCTAACCTTTACGAAGTCACGTGAGAATCTATTCTATTCTATTCTATCTCTCAAAAAAATCTTCAGACTCTTACAGAGCTTTGTCCCCATAGGTAATTCGCGGGCAACCTCTCGTTCGATAAAGCGCGTATGGAGTACTCTACGGGTGCCAACATGTGTGCGGGAGCACGCTGATCCATTGTCCAGCTTTGAAGTCTTTCATAGCCAATTTCTCTGAAAAAAAAACAAGAAACGCGGCCGCCGAATATTTGCTCCCTTGACCAACTGCTTAGAAGGCGGACTCATCAAAGACTGCGCTTCACTGCCACAGTCGGGAAATAGTTCCCAGTCTGTATGACAGTGGCGCGTGGTGCTTCAAAGCGTGGTGTCCACAGTGCGTAAGACAGTGCGCAAGAAAAAGAAACCTCCGCAATTCTCTTCAAAGAGTCGTTCCGGAATTCCGAAAGGGGATTTGAGCTTTACTGCAGACCTGTTAAATCTCTCTTGTCAGTAAACTGGGCGACCTCACTTTGTCTCCAAGACTGCAGGACCTTTCCTCGAAGCGTTGGTAGCAGACGATATGACAATGTGATAGCTGAAGCACGGCCCTTTGCCCTCTCGAAATTTTCTAGCTTGAGCTGTTGTGGTAGAACTTCAGTGTTAGTTGGTGCAGGTACAAACATTTCATTAGAACTGATAACCATACCGCAGGAAATAAAGAGTAAAAACAGGTGTGAAACTATTAGAAGGATTATTACGTTCGATATTATCACTCCACACTTGTTCAGACCTTCCCTATTTGAAGAGCATGGGTTTAATCATCTGTCATCTTCATCTGATCATCTGTGCTTTGGAGTGTATTCCTTTCCCCAATGTTTGTTTTTCTTTGTTTCCAATTAAGACCATGAAAAAAAAACACACGGCTTACTCGCGAACCCAGTACATATGAGAGTGCGCTTACTTGAGTAGCTGTTCGATTCTCGCCTTCGGCAGTTTGAACTTTATCACCAAACGTATCAACCGTATGATAATGAAGGGTCTCACGGATCGTATCACACCGAACCAATCCTGAAAACCTCTTTCTAATGTGTTTTACAAACAATCTGAAAATGAGCTGACTTCGTATGGAGCTGAGAAAAGAGCAAAGTTAGCTCGAAGAATTTGATAGCAATGTAGAAGCCACGATAACCAATGACTAATAAACATGAATAGGTCGAACTGTGCCCATCTGTTGTGAATATAAGAGGAGTATTTCTGAAACGGCAAGAAATGAATTCACTTCACTATTAGAAAGAAGTAGTTCTGTGTGACATGGTTCAGTTTTATCTCTCTTAGTTATAGTAATGCTCATTTTCTTGTGCGAAAATATTGTTTTACATTTTTCGGTAGTATCTCAAAGGCAAGTGCTTCGACAAAGTGAAAATTAGTGCAAATCTATACGCCTGTACAAAAGAATATTGTGCACTTGAGCAGGCGCTACGTGGCGCTTTTTCCAAGGGTACACTTGCCCTATCTGTAACATAACGACCCGCACGACCACCGCGCCTGCCCGCCCACAAATGTCCGACCGATGCTGATGCTCGTATCGCTTCATTTGCGAAGTACAATATGAAGCGAAGGGATTGATATGAAGCGGCTGCGGTGCTGCATGGATATATGAGTACATACATGCAGCCGTATCTACCGTAGCGGTTACTGGCACGATGCCAACGGGAAACTCGTCCGGAAACTTGTCCGAAACTGCTTCCTGAGTCGTGTAGAACAAAGGTTTTTTGCAGGCTTTTGACCGTTTCACTTCGCTTTTCGCCATTTTCCCACTATATAGCACCCTGCTACCATATTTAGACCGAGCACCAATTATCGTGCCTTATGCCTTGAAATGGACACCATAGTGAGCGTTCCTCCCTATCTTGTGAAACCACCCACGGAGCCCCATTTAGGTCTCTCTGTTCCTCCTGGCGGCTTCCATCGAGCTGTTTCTGCTGCTCATCAAGACGGGGACCCTTTATCACGGACTCTTGTACAATATTCAATTGTTAGAATAGTGTTAGTGGTTCTCAAGGTGGTAATTCTTGATACCAGAAGCGAACTCCTGTGTTGGGTATGGATATTTGACACTAACACGCGCAGAAAACGACGCGACAACCGATCTCTCCAAAAAAAGTTTGATCCAGGGTCAGCTGCACAGAACGGCCAATTTTGCAGCTATGAAGCGGTCTAAGCAGTCAGCTTTCTCATGTGCTTATTTCCCGATATGGTAAGCCTGAATCGCCAATAAAGTCGTCATCGGGCAATTGATTAGCCGGCCAAAGGGTCGCGACGCGGCTGCGGCGCGTCACGACCGCGGCGATCAGCTGTTTCCAGCCTAATTTGACGATTCTTCTCTCTAGTTTTCAGAATACTTCCTATTTTTTCGAGCTAAGTTGCGTTATTGTCTAGAGAAGTATATTAAAACGTGAATTTTTTTAGTTCCAATGGAGTGTCTTTCGCAATGCTTTTTAGGTGTTGTTTATTGTTTGTTTAATCGTTTAATTGTTCGCAAAAGTTAGAAAAATCTCAACCATAATTTACCTTGTGAAGACAAGGAACAGCTAACCTTGAAAAAAGCAGCCAAAAACAGTGAAAGGTTGCCGCAAACAGTTCCTACGCACGCGGTCGCTGCTGCAGCCGCGTCTGCGGCCCTTTGACGACCGCCCTAATCAACTGCCCGGATGGCGAGTGTATTGCAGGGCTAATGACTTTTCACAAATTAGGGCCACATGAGCGCAAAACAATTGGAAAGAAGACGAACTTTTACTCTTTCACTTGAAATCCTCCTACATGTGGGACCTTTATTTTGAAACTCAGGAGATTTTCACATTTTCTGATTGAAATCTGTATATATAGCTCAATCGTTCTCACGAAAAAAAAGTGAGCTACGGCTTTGGAGCGCTCCGAATTGAATAAATAGGCAGCAAACCATGAACCCTTCACCTAGTAACTAGGAACAACCGTTTTCGGGACTCCCCTTTTACTTTTGAAATTCACTGTATATCACAACTTTTAGCCAAAAAACTTCAGCTGCACGAGACAATACAGCTTAGACAACCAAATTAGCTTAAATTGGATCCCATGGGTCATTTTGTTTTTTCCTCGATTCGAACAAAATATGCCCCTGGTTTGAAAATTGGCAGGCTCCAATAGTTTCTATAGGCACTGCCGCCAGTCAGAGGAAAAAAAAGTCTCAGCCGTTGAGCAATCTCTTTGTGAGATGTGCCATTCCACTCCCACTAAGAATCCGCCATTTCCCAAACAAACATGGCAACAACTTGTCACCACCGATAACTAAAATGCATGGAGAAGCCCTGACTTCGTGTCCACGTCCACCTCCTCCGCGTTTTTTCTATATTCTTTTTCAGTGGGGGCCAAGGCGGCTGTGCTCTCCTCGCGATGCTGACACGAAAAAACTCTTCCGGGCGAGCAGGTGTGACTTCATTTCCTGGGAGGGAAAGTATCGCCGCCATCTCGGACATGTTGACTACACAACAAAAGAAAGTTGTCAAACCTGGTGAGTTGCTCATAGAAAAGAGGAGAGGCATTACTAGACTTTCATTAATCGTCCTTTAGGCTACATTTCAAGCGAGCGGCTGGAAAGTGCCTTGAAAATTGCTTGCATCATTTCGCTGATCACGGTCTGCCTACACACACCGAAAACCTTCGAACGGTTGTGGCCGCTCACTTACATTGTGCTCTGTCTCGACCTGGTTTCCGTGCTAATACTTACGTTGGAGGTGATGCTCCGAATTCATCACGAAGGATTGAGCCTGGTAAGTGGGTGTTTGCAACGCCAAGAAATTCCCTTCATATATGCATGAAATAGGGCGACATTAAAGGATGATATCAAACCCCTTGGCCCATGAACCAACATCTTTTTGCGGTCCTTGAGAATGCAAT